ACTGAAGCATCGGATATTTTTATTCTCGTGAAATCATATAGATACACGTAATATGAATGGAATATATAACACTTCTTTTGTGCTAATAATACTCAGAATTCATGCTTTATCGGTAACATCGGGTATTGACACTAAAATAGTAACAGGGCTACGTAGCCCTATGAACGTGGGACAGAAAAAAGCATTGGATGATAGGTCTATTCTATACCTAGTCGGTGGTAACATGTAGATTATAATTTATAATCATTATGGGCGAAACTTTCGAATACCCCCATGCTCCGAATTAGATGAAATTTTCGGAATAAGTTCTTTTTTGACAAAAATGATGATTGCGAGAAGGATTTTTGGCGACTCGAAAAATTTTTTTTTACCATTTAAGTATCATTCCCTACCTTACCTACATAATTTAGTATGGTAAGCGAACTTTTTAAAATAAATAATCACGTGCTTAGGCATACTTCGGACAGCGTAGAAAGCTGTCTATTGTTTGTTGCTGCCGCCCCTCCCCCAAACCCCCTCACCCACAAATGAACTAGCCCCAACCTACTCCGACCACTCTTTTCTTTGGGAATTAAGCCCATTTCTCGTAGCCATTCCATTACTGCTTCGCAGTCATTTATTTTTTTGGTAAAAGAAAATAAATTTATATGACTCATTGTTACCCAACAAAACTTCGAATTAATACTAACAAACGACAGCGAAATGAACCACGTGTTGCGTTCTAGCCTCAACATTCCCGATATCTATTAAAAACAATTGAAAATCAGCGGGTTTTGCGTCTTGAACGCCACCTTCATATCTGCCTAGACTATCGCCACGGTCACGATCGTGTCGGTAACATAGGGAGTGACACTAAAATGGTAAAAAATATTTTTACGAGTCGCCAAAAATCCTTCTCGCAATCATCATTTTTGTCAAAAAAGAACTTATTCCGAAAATTTCATCCAATTCGGAGCATGGGGATTTTCGAAAGTACAGCCCAAAATCATTGTTGAAATCAATTTTTTATGGCCCTGATTATTGGAAAATATTTTGTGAAAGTGTATACTTACATATGTAAACGTTCAAAGTTAGTTACATATTGTGATTTATATAATTAAAAATTTTTGTATACTGAGGATAAAGAGGTATGCACATTTCACTATCTTTTCCGTAATGTTCGAGTATATGTGCCATTAGAAAATTATAGACTTATGTAAATATTGGTAAACCCAATAGTTATTGGAAACAGTATAGCGATCTAATACACGAGGTTGCATCTGTTCAGGCGCCACTTAATAACGCCAGCTAGTTGAATGCAAAGATATGCTCGTCCAGACACGATTGAACCTGCACAGACTTGTCCTGAAAAAGCATGACGTCTGACCAAAACCTGACTCATAGCTAGTCTCTGTTTAAAATTCCTATATCCGCTATTCGGACCCCTTAAACTTTCAGTTTCCATGTCACTAAAATAAACTCTGTTTTAACTCATGTGTAAATCCTTCGAATAAAATGTCACTCCGAATTTATTATATAAATCTGGTTATTCCTCTCTCAGAAAGTACAGACACTTAAATTAAATTTCCTTAACCGATCAAATCCTCATAATATTGATTTCGAATTTCATTTCGGTCCTTTATCACGTACCTTCAATTATGAATACATACGTGCATCTCAGATCAATTTTATTAATTTGACGATAGATGGCGGATAGACTACTATTCCGAACCGTTAGAAACATTTTTAAACTTCGAATTCTGAATTTTATTATTCTCCTTAATTTTAATTAAAATTCGATCACCGAATAATTAGGATCTTCGGAATTTACAATTCCAAGAATCGTTTTGCAACAATTGAGTACACTAAAGATGTCGCGGAAATAGCTCAACGGTTGACTCGCGTAGTCACCAATAACTGTAAGCGGAAAGGGACAGCCATCTTTTTCGGGGAGATGATGCAATCGATGACACATATCGACCGTATCGGGAGATTTGCCTTCAAGAATCGCGGAAAAAAATTCTCTGCTCGCGATTTTCGTGGATTAAATCTAATCGTCGAAAACATTTTGATCGACTCGAATCTAATCCACGTTCCCGACAAACCGAGCGATTCGTGTTCGAACCCTATCGGATTATTAAGAAAGCCGCCAGCTGGGAGTGCTATTTTGAACGGGGTCCCGCGGCGTTGCCGGATCGCCGGCTCGAACAAGTTCAAACACGTGCCCCATGTGTTTTGCTCCTTGGAAAGAGATAACTGCATCGGCTGACAAAACAGAATGTTTGCTTTCCTCTTGACGCTACTCACGTCCGCGTATACACTTCCTCGAACGATATTTCCGCGTGAGCCAAACTGAAATAAAATACTCATCATCGTTACTAATAAGCATACACGTAATATTTAAATCATACTTGGCAACGGTCACAGGGCATTTAATGTCCGAATAATGATTCAAACGAAGAGGGAAACTTAAATCTAAAAACGGGACGTTTCACGGTCCAGTAACTATTTCAATGAAAATCCTAACTGTACACCGTTATTATGAATTTTATAAGAAATATTATTAGGAAATGAAACAGTATATTGAATATTTCAAAGTTTAATATCGAAATGGCGATCGAACGGATACACCGGTTACGAGAAGAATTTCACGAAGGTGAGATCGAACCGAGAGCTGGACAAGAAAGTTCAGGCTGAAAGTGGCGTAGAGGACGTGGCAACGCAGCGAACTGCGTGAGCCGAGATGCGCGGTATGAATAGCAGCAGCGTTGATCGGCTGCCTGTTGTCAGGGGTCCAGGGGGGCAGGGGGCGGGGTAAAAGTTTCCACAGTGGTGGGGTTAGGTTGGTTGGGAACGTAAGGGGCACACGATACGGTATTCCCCTGTGGTTGTACGTCCGTGAGCGTAATATAACCGAGAGGTAACGTTACCCTATCGCTGTTTACGGGCTGGATTTTCGGAAATTTCGCGGGGCTTTCCGATTAACCTCGAACTTCGCGAGAAATCGAATCGAACGATCAGGCCGATGGACCGTAGGACTGCTCGTTTCATGAAAATAGAACCAACTAAAATAGTTGCCGTTGAAAATACATGCGCTCGAGGAACGTTTTCACCGCCTATCCGAACGAACACATAGGCAACACATTATTGATACTCCCACGTGGAACTTTCTGCGCGCGAATCGATTCAAATTCATTCGGCATCATGACGCCTGAACAATTCAAATTTTTTGCATAATGTTGTTCATTTGACTTAACCTAGAATTAAGTTATTTTTAATTCGTCATTTTGAAATAATGTGTTATTTATAATTTACAACTTGGAGCGTTGATGCAGTAACATTATTGTGCGATGTAAATAAAAATTTTTGATATTCATCCACCTACAAATATAGTTTAGCAAGGCTAGTTACTTAACCCTGCCGTTAAAAATAAATAATTATAACGAATTGTCAAATAAATTTGTGTCAAATGAAGCAACCATTTAAAAAATCTAAAGCTTCTCGATTTTCGAATTCTAGAATAATATACATTCTTTGTTTAAGTTGTTAAAATAATTTATATAAAATTTAATTTAAATAACGTACAATTTTGCTGGTAGAGACGTTTAGGGGTGGGAAAAAAGGCATAGCGAAACGTGTTAAGCCCCTTTCACACTGACGCTTATATGACAGTTAAATGACGGGAATATTTGGAGCGTACACACTACCCTTATGAGTATTCCTGCCTTAAGGAATTGGAGCAATTGAATTGTTTCTTGTATTTTTTTATACTATGGTGTATGTGGAATGTATGTACACGATTGTATTAAAAAATGTGTAATATTGATGAGGTTACAAGACTTCGAACGATACTATCCATAAATTGTTCCTTTCGAGTAACGCCATTTCATTAGCCTTTTCTCTTTTTCATGGAAATTGGTTCAGGCGCTAAAAAAATCCATACTGATTAGAATCCATTTAGAATTGATGATTTCATAGCATTTTCAAACAGTTCAGTATTTTCATAGTGGAGACAGTGAAAGAAGTGAAAAATAACAAAAATTTTCGGAGTAAAATTGTTTTCTATGTCTTTTTTTCACTTCTTTTACATAATAAATATAATACTGACGAAATAATAATTTTTTACAATAAAATTGAAAATTTTGAATTCAAACACCCATGAATATGGTTAATTTAAACAGAAATACAAATTATGCATTTATACCTCTCACTATAAATTATAACTAATTATTAAAGAAAAATAACATTTATTTCTTGTTTACACATTCAATGAAAAATATAATTTTTTACAAAATACCTTCGGTTTACACTGTAATAATTTTTTAGACAAGTACGATAAGTAGACTGTGGACTATATGAGTTTATAATACACGAAAGTGCAGACAACAATAAGATAAAAGTTCATTAAAGATTGGGAAACATTTTTTAATGTTACTTTTAATAAAATGACATCAGTTTCTTCATGTTCCGGGTTTTATGGATTGTTCTATGAAAATATGAAGTAGCATAAACATGCACACATTCTAACAAATGATAAAAATCTTATAACTACACATGCTTGCTTGCTCATCGCTGTCCCACAGCTGACTGAGACGTCTGATCCGATGAATCATCGACATGTCCGAACAAGTCTTCCATTGGCCTTTGCGAACCCGGCCATTATGAACTTAGACCCATAGTTTCATATTATTTAAATAATTATTTACATACTGCTTAATTTAATTACTCTTTGTCATTTACGTTATTTATATCGCCTGTACTTATTATTTATTATTCTTTCTTTATCCGTTACGTACGATTAACCACTAAAATTATTGAAAATTTAATACGATATCAGGTATCGTTTAAAAAAACCGTCACTTTGTGCGCGATAACCTAATACAACATCCAACTTGAAATTGTCTGATAAATTTAATGTCAGGCCGATTTCTTAACAGTCAGGGATACTCACTTTTTAATTGCAAAAAAGTTTAGAAGGAAATATAAAAAGCACTCATACTAGATTTTTAATCTACTATATATGAATCTATAATTTTTTTATTTCAAATAAATGATATATGACAACTACTTAGTATCCCAAAATACTCCACGGAGAACACGTTCCATCTAACCACCTGTACCCATGTTATTCCCCAATACATGCACGTTGCAACCAAATTTAAAAATGTTGGTTTCAAGTACGAATCTTCGAACGTTCAAACGGTTATCCTTCAACAAGATTTACTTTCACCAGACAAAAAATCTCCAAATCAACGGCATTCGCTTTTTTGGCGGGTTAACAGTAAACGATGGTATCTTTGACACTAGAACTACCAAGCAAGTCAAAATGACTTGTCAATACATAACAATATACAACGATCATTAAAATGTTATGACAATACATTTTGTCAGATCTTTTGCGCCTTTTATTACGATATGAAAGTGAAGAAATTAGTCAATTTCTAAATTTATAAAGTTTCAAAAGTTTTTCACATTTATCCACCGATCGAAGCAAGTATGCGTTTATCGTCGGTAGTTCTAGTGTTAAAATTCATTTCAATCGGTAACTCGATATTATTGAAAAACCTCGAATTCAACCGTATTTTCGCGTGTAAACTAACCAATAATTGACTGCATACCAGTTAATAACCATTATGCAAGAAATGTCAATTACAAATTTAAAAACCATTAAATGTTTATAAATGGAGCGTTGTTGCACTTTTAATATTCCATATTTGTAATTTAGCGTATTAAGGAAACAGTAATAAGTACAATTCTTATTAAAAATATTTCACAAAATGAAGCAGTCATTTACTGTACTTTTGCACGTTTTGCACTTAATAAATAATTATTTAAGAACTACGATAAGAATAAGTAATTACTATTAAAAAATTTCAAGAAAAATAAATATAATTGCAATTTCAACAACTGTTTTGTTACAAATAAATACATTCACGTATTAATCTCAAAGTCCAGAAATTCAACAATTCGATCATTCACTGGTTGGTTTACCCTAGATCGAAAAGCATTTGACGTGTGGATCAAAGAATTTCGCCGAGGCAACCGTGCGCGCCGCTCGAGGAATATAGAGGCGGTAGTGTGAAGGAGGCCTTACACCGCGCCGCTCGAAAATCTTCCGTTGTGAAGATTCTCGAGAATCGTTTCGTCGTCGTCGTCGTCGTCGTCGCCGCCGCTCGGTCCGTGGTGCGCGCGCGCAGTGACGGTGAAATCACGCGGCGGAGGGGAAGGGGGGAACGACGCTCCCTTCCCCCCCTTCGTCGGTGTTGCGCTGCGCGCAGTAACGTCATTGTGCCGTGTGTGGGGGCCATGATCCGTTCGAGTGTGTGTGCGTCCCTCAAGCTAAACGCGGACCTGCCCAGTAAATACGAGGCTTCCGTTCCCGCCGCGTACGTGTCGCGCGTTGCCATTGCGTAGTAGTAAACTAAGAGAGAACGCGAGACGAACGACTGCGGACTCTCCTTCGGTTGTGCCCGGTATCATCGTGCGTGTCCCGTATATCACCGGCGTGATCCCGCGGTCCAATCATGCCGTTGAGTATTGGGGTTAACCTAAGAGTGACCGGACACTGTAATCAGGGCGGTCGTAAGTACATGGAGGACATGTTCAGCGTGGCGTTTCAGCCGACACCGGACGACAAGGATCTCGAGTACGCGTTCTTCGGTATATTCGACGGGCACGGGGGCTGCGAGGCCGCTGCATACGCCAAGGAACACCTGATGAATGTGATCGTGAAGCAAAAGAACTTCTGGTCGGATCGCGACGAGGACGTGTTACGCGCGATCCGAGACGGATACGTGAACACGCACTACGCGATGTGGCGGGAGCTTGGTAAGCGCGACTAGCTCGTTCAGCAGGCCACTTCCTGTTCCGTTCTGTCCCTCGCGGATCCTTCCTCTCGATTCCACCTCGTTCTGAACCCTGTCCCGTACCTTACCCACGACGAAACACACCGTATCGATGCTTCCCTCGACAGTTTCTGTCATTGTCCCGCGTATTTCCCCCACCACCTCCGTACCTGATTAGGTTAGAATTTAGGTTATGTAATCCGAGCTAACCTGAAAGTTTGAATTCGGAGGAAAAAGTAGAGTTGAAAGAAAAGATTCTTTATTCTCTGGTATTTTATCGTAGAGGCGTTGCTTATGTAATCGAGAATGTTCAGAGAACGATTCCACGGGATTCGTCTCGATGGATCCATTGTATTTATGGGAATCTACTTTTGCAATAGACAAGTGGCCAAGAACTGCGTCCGGATTACCGTCTACCGCTGGGACCACTGCTAGCATAGCATTCGTTCGCAAGGGAAAGATTTATATGGGTCATGTCGGCGACTCTGCCATTATATTGGGGTATCAAGTGGATGGTGATCCACAGTGGAGAGCCAAGCCGTTGACCAAGGATCACAAGCCTGAAAGCGGGCCCGAAATGATGAGGATACGAGAATCTGGTGGTAAAGTAGTTAGTAAATCTGGTGTCCCAAGGGTGGTATGGAATAGACCTCGTATAGGACACAAGGGACCAGTTAGAAGATCAACCCACATAGATGAAATTCCGTTTCTTGCTGTTGCCAGGTCTTTAGGTAAGCTTTCGGTTGAGATATAGAAGAATTCTCAATTTTTCTGGATGTTGTTTATCGGTTAACATCCTCTTTGTTTTATAGGTGATCTGTGGAGTTACAATTCTGAGTTAAATACATTTGTTGTCTCTCCTGAGCCAGACGTTACAGTGGTTAAAATTGATGTTGAAACACACCGTTGCCTTATTTTTGGATCAGACGGATTATGGAATATGCTGACGCCGCAAGCTGCAGTGGCCATTGTTCAGGCTGCGGATAGACACAATGAGAAACATCTGATTGCTTCCCAACAAACTTGTAATGGGGTATGTTAAGACAAGTCTTAAAAGTTCTTAGATTCATTGTTTAAACATGTAATACGATCAGTGTTGTGTTTTAACAGCAATCCGATAATGTCCAACTGTGGATTAATCCTTCAAAAAGCCTAGTAGATAGAGCGTTAGAAAGGTGGTCGCTGAAGAGATTACGTGCAGACAACACAAGTGTTGTGACACTGATGTTAGATCCACCTGGACCATCTCGAAGTGAGGTATGTAACTTTCAATTATCTTTGTTCGTTATTTAAAGAAGGTGTTGGCGAAGTATCAACTGGAAAAAGTCGTCACATTTTTAATAATAAATAAATCTCGTTATTTTAAAAGGTTCTATTAAGTCAGAAAGAACGTGGTATGGCATACGACAATGTACATACACCTGCAACTGCACTTTGTGCCGAAAACATGGAGAAACCTACTTACAATCCAGTCTTTCCGACCGTAGCAAGACCTACTCCGGTGATAACTCACAACATCGATGTCCAAAGACCCGAATTCTACAACGTAATTGAGGAAAACAAAGAGGAACCAAGATCAGAGAAAGTCGTGCATGAAGAGAGTTTTCTAGAGAACCTTGACATAAGTCACCAGTCATCCGATGAGCTACTAATGCACACGAATATGCAGAACGCAGTTTCAGAAGAGAACGTTGGAACGACAGAAACAATATCCCACGAAATAATAGAAAAGAATTTCGATATAGATAATAACGAATTAGAAACAACTCCGCCGGAGAATATCGACAAACTTAACCAAGAACAGACAGATGCAGCAGAGAAACAATCAGACGCAGTTGATACCCCGTTTCAACAAGCTACTTCAACAGTACAGTCGCCTGAGGTAGCGACGAACGAAACCAATCAGGCTGACGTTTCGAATGTGATATACCAAAGTGCATTATCCGATGACTCCAAAAATGTATGTTCTCCAACTCACGTTGATAGTACCGCAGAGAAGAGCAACGGGATTGAATTCGAAAACGCAGCTACTAATGAGAACGAAGCAACGGGTAACGTCTTGAATGGATCGCGTCACAAACAGCAGACTTTGTTCGCCGCCTCAAGAACAGAAGACAGGAACGCGAGGCAAAGAAGGCACAGTTTGAGCGCGCATTCGCGAAACAGCCTGGCGGAGCCGGCCTCGTTAGAGACGAAAATGTACGCAAATTTGAGGTTCAAGTCGCGTAACGCTAAAGTGCCCGTGACAGGGAACACAGTGGACAAAGGTGTTACAAACTCGACGAGTAAAACGACCGATAGTGCTGTCGGTACTAAACGTAGACATAGTGCAATATCGCAAAGTGTAGTTAGTACGGTTGAAGAGGCATGCATGTTACAAGAACCTTGTATGAAGAGAAAAACGCGATCGGAGGACCGACCGAATCCCGTCGACGAAAACGATCCAGCGAACCAGACCACAAAGGATGCTACCGGTAGCCTAAGTTGGCCCACCACGGAGTCCAGTATTTCCCGTTCCCCTGGGAATGCTACCGCGATGCCTATTCAGGAGAGGCTCTCTCCGTTGAACACGTTCCAAAGGAACTTGGGGAAGAAAGTCACGCCGGTGAAGGCTATTCGAAGACCTTCTATCAAGGGTCTGTTGAAGCAACTGTGGGCAGCTAGTCTTGGCGCGAGGGAGTGGGACCAGGGAAGGAGTAATCGGCCGAACGGTTGCACCGAGAGGAGGATAAATCGAACAATGTCCATTATCGGTTCTTCTGATAGCACAACCGTACCGCAACGTTGGCTCAGGTACTTATCCGCCTAGAACAATGTCTCCGGCTGTATTTCCAAAAACCGGTCATGCCCGATTTGGCTGAAATTTTAGAAATACCTTCATTTTACATAAAACAACGTTTGCGAGAAGGATTTTTTGGCGACTCGGAAGTTAAGGCCAAAAATTTTCAGAAAAATGTTTACCCATTCCAGCGTCAGTCCCTGTAATTTTGAAAACTTCGATGTCTCGATTTGATTGAAAGTCTGAGAATAGCTACCTTTTAGATAAAAACAAAATTCGCGAGAAGGATTTCTTGTGATTCGAAAATGAAGACCCAGATTTTGCGAAAAAATTTTTTATTACTGTAATGTCACTCCCTGCGTTACCGATGCAATATTATACTTGGATCGGAGTAGCTTAGAGGACAGTTCGAGAAAAAAGATGTCATTATTATCTGAATAACTTTTTAATGAACAAAAAGTTGACTAAAACCTGTATAGTAAAATGTTTTTAAAAAAAATTTTAGGTCTTAACTTTCGAGTAGCCAGAAATCGTTTTCGCAAACATTGTTTTTATGTAAAATGAAGGTGCTTGCAATATTTCAGCCAAATCGGGCACGACCGATTTTCGGAAATTTGCGATTTTTCCACGGAATCGTATATTCGTTTACATGATCGATTTTATTATGCATGTAATTTCAGGTCAGACACCATTGCTGCTACACCTGTAAAAACATTACGGTCGCGTAACGTGGACATACACCAGTACAGTCTGGTGAAACAACAGAATCGACTCTCGTTGCCGAGTAAACTGAAGCAGTCCGGCAACAATGGATATCTACAGCCGAGTAAAGTACGATCGACCTCCTTGTCGTCCAGTATTAAACAAAGTAGTAGCAATACTGCGAACGGGACCTGCTCTACCATTAGTCCGACGAGTACAGGATGTAACGCCAGTTCCGGAATGGCGAAACGAGTAAAATCGCCGTATAATCCGAGCGCTAGGTCACTAAGCACGCGATCTCGCATTAAGCGCCTTGGGAAATGAGGTAGGATAACACGTGTTAAATATGTTGTTTCTGTACAGGGTATTATCTCTTACCCTTATTGTTTTTATTTGCCGCATATTGCTTTCTATCTCCGCGAAAGATACGCTAGTTATGATATTGTTTATTTTTCCCTTTCGTCTGTATTGTTTGCATTTTATCGCGAAACAAGCACAAAAACCTTTTTTTGTACCAACAAAATCGTCCAGACGTATCTGTGAAATCTGGGTTTGCATTTGGTGAATTAAATAAATGTTTTTCTCGTTAGGCTGTTTTAAGACAGTTTTCAATCACTAGTCGGGAAGTGTTCGATTTTAATGGTGTTAAGATATGTATATGAAAATATTATGCAGGGGCAACAGTTTGTTGTTGATACGATTGTGTTTTATAGCTTCCATGACACTCTACGGGTGTGAACAATCGATATTTTTCATATTTACAAACATTCACGTCCTGAATAGTGGTTAGCAATAATATCGACACCAATAAACATTGTATGTTGACTATATTAAAATGGTTTTCACGCACTTTAATGTTTTACTGTTGTCCGCAGCGTCTAAATTTTTCGGGACATAAACATGCCTGTGTTATTCAGGCATCGTAGTTACAGTTTTGATTTTTAAATCAGTGGTAGTAGAGTTAGAGTACAGTCGACCTGAATCAAAACTATTAATTGGAGCAAGTATTTATCATCGAATGCCAACTGTCACTTTCTTGAATGACGTCTGTTTGACAGAAACAGCTAAAGTTTAAAGACTTCCATTTTGTTTTATGCTTTCTAATGTTTAACTAGCTTATCGAAGTGTTAATCACGAAAAAAAAGAAAATTTACGAAAGTACATGAACATATGTATAAAAACATGTGATAATCAGAGAGGTAGGAAGGAAAAAGAGTGGCTGTATCTGAGAGAGAGATAAAGCGCATATGTATATTTGTAGAAATTTATCATTTTCCCAATGATTCCTCTAAGCGTTGCAGTTTTCTATGAGGAACTGACTTTTAAGGGAATTAAACGAGTCGTTAAGTGAAAAAATATATATGATAACTTGCTTACAGTAAGATTAAGAGTTGACATATTTAGTGTGTAGGTACGTAAAATCACTGATCTGCTTTGGCTCTGTACAGGGTGGCTATTGAAGGTTCATACAGAGTCATGAAATTTTTTATATGTAACTTTATACAAAGACAGCACAAAGTCCAAGTAGGTCCTTCGCTATATATACACATATATATACGACTTGGCAATAGCTGATCATAATTTACTATCATTGTAAGCATTTAATTAATCATTTAAACTATGGCAGAAGAATCTTGAATAGCGACCTCGCGGTACGAAGCAATAAAACGACTGTCTATTATGCGATACAAAGTTTAGATTTATATTTAGAACAATTTAAAGAATTCAATTAATCAAATTGAATAAATGACAAATTCGTCTGTTTATGGATGTACAATAAGTATTCGCTAAAAAAAAAAAAAAGAAAACGGTGATCAAAACGTTGAGGTTCGATAATCAGTGCGTAAGTTGTTAAGTAGGAATTCGCTTTACTTATTGATTTTTCTTATTTTTCTCTCCTATTTCGTTTTTTGTTTCCTTTAGTAAGACGAGTCTTGAACTTGTGGTATTACTTTAAGATAATTTAAAGTTCGCGAGTTAGCCCCGGCACTGTGGTGCGAAATGTACTTCAAGAGAGACAAATTTAGGCCGAATGTGTTTAGTTAAATGTGTACTAGAAATAATACGAATAATCAGACCGCGACAGTAAATTCACATTCACATATTTCAGTTTTTTTTTTTTTTCTTTTTATTTTGTGTTAATGTTTTTAGATATATACATACACAGATTCCAACTCGTGTGTTTTTGAATAGCTACAACAATGTTGCTGAGAGTTTCGACTATAAATTTTAAGGTTACGATTGGTTGATTTTAGAACTGCTTGAAAACAACATTGGCGGCGAAAGAATTTACTGTGACCGCGGGATTATTTGAAAATGTGGCGGGAACACGGCGAACTACAAAGGGCGTACATTTATATGAGTTTATCGATATTTTTACATTTTTACGTTTCATTGTAGACAGTGGCAGAAAAGAACGAATATATAAGTTATATCAAAGAGTAGAGAAAACAAAGTATAATAAAGAAATATCGAAACGTGCCTACATAGTTACCATTCAAATGTATATATATATATATATATGTATATGTATAAAGTGTATTCACATACCATGGACCAAGAAGATCAACACACCTTTTTCACTGTTGCAACACACAGAAGTAACCGAAGTGAATGTATTTAACTAATTTTAATAGGAAATCAGTGTTACGTGTCTTCATAGAGTAAATATATTACCGTATAAGTACATTTCTCATAAGAAACCTCTTCTTGGTGCATGCGATACAGGTAGCACTGTATATACATATAAATATATAAATATGTATGTAAATATATAAATATATATAGACGCGTATATATACATACATATGTGAGAGAGAAAACACGTATTCATCTTGAATGATCAATATACGTGTAAACTGTAGATTACTATGCTCATAGGAGATGAATTCGAAGGAAAGAAATCTTTGCTAGCGTTTATTTATATACACGAGGAAAATGTTATTATATTATAGAAGAGAGGACGGCTAGTAAAGAACGGAGAAGATATCTGCCTGGTTGCGCTTGTAGATTTAAATATTCGTTATTATAGGACGTGAAAGGAAACCAAGTATTTTCTGAGAGCCGACGGGAGAAATTAAATTTATCACGACACGGAAACCTATAGTGAGCGACAAAAAATTTATAGTGGTTTATCTCAGGTTAAGAATAGGTCGAAGGAGGCGAACTCGAACAAATGTGTGATCACGTTTCAAATCTGTATATTTTAATTAAATAAACTGAAATATACAAACGTTTTTAGTCATCATATCGTTAAGCCTTCCAAACTCCAAATTTCTATTATTGTTCGTGAATTTTTACTTCATTTCATTACACAGTACAGGTATGTTTCCCTGTGGCAGCTAGGTTTGAATGATTCTCAAGTTTTTATTGGAAACTTGTAAAACAGAGAAATGTTTTTAATTCGAGCAATGTTCAGGGAATAAATTTGGGCCCGTTGAGAAGTTATTTAAACGATTCTTATATTTCTATCCTGTTATTTGGAAAAATACAATTTTACATATGTACAGGGATAGAGTTTAGGTCAGATTCTTTCATGCGACTCCACAGTATAACTTACAGGCATTTGCACAATTATTAGCTCATATACAATACACCTTTGAAGGTACAAGATATTCCTCAATCTTTCTTTTAATAAAAAGAAACCTTATTTATACATTATATATAATTAATGTACACACTAAACGTTGATTTAATTTATACCAGTAATAGATACTTTCTTTTTGTTGTAACAATCACTTTTTCTTTTTGGTGAATATCTTCACAACAATGTGAATGTTAATGCAAAATATGATTGAATTGTTTATTTTAACGAGATTTTTAGTTATTGTATATTGTTACTTACGTTTGTTCAGGGATCATATAGAATATTCAAAGTTTATAAAAGTCCTCTGCATTGTTTATGAAATGATAATACTGAAACTTTTGGGGCCTAACATTTATTTATATTTCTATTTGCAAGAAGACTCGATGTATTTTCAGAATAGGGTAAAATTTTGCGTTTGATTCTATCGATAACGTTTTACTAATGAGGTAACAAACTGCCTAATTCAGTTACTGGGTCGAGATTACCATAAAGAGCCCAAGAATGCACAAGTATAATACAATTGCATTGTTTGCACAATACTCGTAATGACAAAAGAATCCTTATCATTAATCATTCGGTATTTACAATACATACGTGCATTACATTTTTATTTATTGTTTTCCTATAGTAGTTCAATAATCCTTTTGCAGTCTAGCACTTTGCCCGTATCGAAGTGCTCAGTCGAGAAACCTAAATTCAGTGGTAGAATTAAATTGATTGAAACCTATATATATATATAATAAGAGATTGAATGTAACAAGAGAAAGTTTCGCTATTTGAAAGACTCCTGTTTCATTTTTGTTTTACCATTATTATATATAAAAAGCGTATCATAGATAAGACCTGGTTTATACAGTAAACTTATTAAACAGGCCAGCCATAATAATAGATATGAATCTTAAGGTGTTATAAATCAGTGGAAAATATTTTATTGCAAAAATGAATTACAATGTTTCAGGTTATTTACAAGATGTAGATGACATATTATATATTTCACTCAAGATATCTCATGTACGCGGTCAAAGATTTCCTATTATTGTTAGTTCACAATGTAATTCATTCTTAACAATGTTTGATCTCCTCAGAGATTTATTGCACCTTGAGAGACATACGTATTATTATGATTAACTCTTCGTGACCGAGTTTGCATACTCGCTGGATCATCAGGCATACTGCTCTCAAATGCACATGCATACACATCAAGACAAAGACGATAAGGCACAGAATACACATTATTATTTACGAGTGATCATTACACACCGGTTGCACAGCCCCGAGAAATTAAAAGGGGGTGGCAAGACGACCAACAGGAACTTACACACTGTCAGAGGATTCCGCTTCAAGAGAAAAGAAATGTGATCCCAATACTACTCAATACTTTCACATATGAAAGTATATACCTTGTTCACTTAAAAATTCCATGCCAATTTATGTTTCAACATTTTTTCATTTGAAAGATTTCCTGAACTTAACGCAACATCACTGAACTGCATCTACGTTTAGATACTCTTTAATATCTACACTGTTGATCTCGAGACTGCGGAAGTCTAAGCAATTACTGACTTTTTATTGTCTAATTTACAAGAACTGGGAAACAAACAGAATTTGTTTATCCTATCGAAAGCTCGGCTAGGGGGTTGAAATGTAACAAATCTTATGAAACATTTCAGTATACTGAGCTTTAAATGCTTGTAGACGTCATAAATGCATATAGTCCGCAGTCTGTTAATCATTATCATAAAGTATATTCACCAAGGAATTATTATGTACTAGCGTTAAAGCAGAATTACAGAAGTTAACAATCAGTTTGTGCCCTAAGATTATCACACAAAACATGAGTCAGTAGTTCATTGTCACCGACCATTTATTAAGACAACCCTAACTGACTCCAGCAGTTCTTCAAGTCTTATTATTGCGAATAGTATATATACCTATAGCCTTTTAGATTATTCGGGGCGGTGATAAAAAAAATATTGTGAATGTATATGTACGGGGTATGTTACATTTTGTAAATCTGTGCATTGTACATGTCACACACGCACACACCATTGTGAACACTCGTAGAATGAAAACCAGTGTGTGGTTGCTTCTTTGAGAAAACTGAAAACTGATGCACACTGCGAGGACAGTTTTTGTAAATTAATGACTTGTTCAGTGCTACCCCAGAAGTAGCTAACATGATTTTTGGACATACAAGGGTACTCATAGCATTGTCGAATATGCATGTCCTTTAGTTATTTCACTCATCGACTGCCATAGTTTGTTCGATATTCATTCCTTTGACAGTTATATTAATTGGTATGCTGTTAATAGTAGAATCTGTCCATATCGAACACTCTATGACAGTGTATTTGCCCTAGCACGTCAAACTCACATTCAATACATAATTAATTCGTGTAAAATAGTATCAGTTATATTTATGTACTTACACTTAAAAGTGTATACGTATATATATATTTACATTTTTCATAAGTAGTTTAAGATGTTTAAAGACAAGTTCTCGAGTCTATCGTATGACACACAGAATTGCATAATAAACCCTTCGAATTAGTCCTACCCTCATTAGCAATGCTCGAACGTGTCTCACACATGATTCAATAATTACCGAGAGAACTGTATTAACACATAATGTACACTGTTACGAAATACCTTGTCTTGCTGTGATTTCATGGGAAACGACACAAAGTAATTACATTCTTTCGCTGTGAGATTTATCGCACAGCTTTCTTTTAATTCTGGCCGACTCCGACGCATGGCAAAACCTCTCTTTTTCTTTTTCTTTTACGATCATCGTGAGTGATTACTGTCAACTGGAAGCACCGATTCTCTTCGTATGAAATACAAGAAAATGTATAAAGAAATGCGTTAATCTTAGTCAGTTACACTAATTAAAGGGATCGCGTTAAATAACTAATGACTTGACCGTTCATTAATCGAAGATTCATAGGATAAGTGTCCCTAGTAAAACAGTTATCAAATGTTCCTCAGTCTTGGAGAGTAAAATGTTCCTTGAGTCGTCGATAGTCACTGTTCGATTTTTCATTCGTATTTGTCGAAGAAAGAACCTAAAGTATTGGGTAAATCGAGGGTGTACTTTGTGTATGACTTAACTTGACTTGACTTGACTGTGTGATGTCATGTTTCCCTTAAAAAAACATTACCTTTATGCTCAACGTACTCCTCAATACTTCTGTGTGCATTTGGTTTCTTATCATTGGAACCAAGAGAAATGATAAATGCATCAGGTTGAAGCAAACTCAAAAGGAATAGTCACTGAAGTTATGCTTCTTGGGGAGAAAAAAAGTATACGGCAGTGAGGTAAGTAATACATCTGGATAAGTATCAGATTCTGTCTTGCGACGAGGAGATAAAATTCACTGATATTAGAATTTTAAAAAATGTTCTGCTCGCAGTAATTGGGGGGGCCAAATTGAATCAGTAATTTGTAGTCACTGCTTGTAGTAATAATGAACTATTCGGTAAAAATTCTACAGGGATGAATCTACGACATTCCTTTCATTCCTGACATCCATTCACTCGATTCCTTGATACCTTGAGCAGTGCACCATGTTTTGCTACAGTAGATCTCTATCCTCATTCAGAAATTAAAAAAACATCGTATGGAATGAGATGAAATGCACAAGATCATCGAAAACCACCAAAACCTTCTAGACGTACAGGTATACACGAGGCACCATTTTAACCACTAATATGTACAACCGTATTCCTTAATGTACTTGGGTGAAAAATATGTATAAGATTCATTTCGTAGAGGGGTGGGGGAGGGGGAGAACATCACGAAGAATAATCTCTACATGCTCACACACCACCGAAACAAGTCTCTCTGTGCACCAGTCAGGTTCCATCGCTGTTTCACTCTGTCTTTATGCTGCCATCACACTTTTGTACTGTGAAGAATAAGTCAGTGATAAGAAACGAAGGGGGTGGCTGTTGTGTAACTGCAGGAACTAACAATTAGAGCTTGGAGGATCTTCCTCGTAATAGACAAACCAAGCAAATGTATCTGTGTGTGTATGTGTGTATACTTTCAGTACCATTTGACTGGCATCATCTATATGGGAGGCAACGTCTATGAATCACAATGGACACTCTTCTGGTTCTCCTTGGCTCTCTGAAAGCTCGATAAACGCACGTGAACACCGTCTTTGAGGGCGTGCGTGACCAGAAGAACCTGGCTAGTGGTTCCATTTATCTCTCGCCTCGCCCGGAACATTCCGTGGCGAAACGTCTGGGATGGTCTCAGGTGGTGCCGTTTCACCGGAGGACACCTGTGGAGCACACGTCGTGCCCGGATCTCCACGGGCTACACGGCGCAGCCCTTCCGCGTTCCGTAAAGGATCTTCAGTTCCGGCACGATTATCTTCTTGATTAACGCATTCGTCTTCGCCGTGAGCATTTCCCGATGTGGGTCCTTCTTGAAGATCTTGATGCCCGGACGATGGACCAGGAACGAGTTGTCCAGGATTAGGAAATCGTAGTCGAGAACGCACAGCGCGTAACCCTGAATCAGAACGGGTTTAAAGAGATGAATGATGACCGTCTGGAAGTGACTTATTGCGGGGAATGTGTTTTGTAGGGCTTGGAGGCAGTAGTTGAAATGTAGTTGATGTATGAAGCAATTTCTGGGAGTTAACCTATTGCACTTCTAGTTATTTATATGTAGTACTTATGAACTTGCTAAAGGAATTCCTAAAGCAACTTTTTTGTACAATTGTTATTACGGAATTCAATATTAATAGGTTATGAGTCAGAATTTACACCAGGTTTTAGAATGGGATGTCTGACAGTATTTGTGCAATTTGAAAATAGGAATCAGATGTTAGTCCTGTCGGATGCTTTGGTTAGGTTATGATAGGTTAACTCTGTTTGGAAAGGGTCAAAGAATCATGGCGAATAGGAAGATTACGGTGTAAGGCACTTGGTCCAGACCTGTGTCATTTTGTCGCTTTTCCCTTCCCAGCTAAGTCTTTCGTCGTACAATGGGTCGTTATTGGTCCCGATGAAAATCGGCTCCCAATGGACGAAACTGCCCGTCCTCTTGCCAACGTGGAACACATGGAGGCCCTCGGTTTCGGGCGCCTCTTGCCATTCTTTGCTACGGGGTACGTTATGGCAGCCAGAGCACAACTTTTTGTGAAAAGGAATGGCCGTGCCAGACTTCAACATTTGCACCTGAAGAAGAAACAGAGTTGTGTTAGAAAAAGCATCCCAGTGACGTTTTGACTGTGAGAAGGGAACTTCAGCAACTTGAAAATTCTAATTTTTGGAAACATTGCAGGTTTGTAGGCAACCTCAACAATAGTATCAGGTACTTTTCTATTTCCTGGTATATCTTGAAAACTATAGTAGATGTAAAGAAATTGTTGAAATGAAAATTGAATGGCTTTTTATGTTCTATAAAACTATGTAATTAGATTGTTAAGAATGTGTGGGTTAAATAAATAAACAAATAAGTAAATTTTTTTAACAATATCATTGCACTGTTTTATGAAACAAAAAGTTATTAAATTTTCATTTCAACAATTTCTTTACATCTACTAATAGTTTTCAAGATATACCGAAAAATATGAAAACCCACACTAACCTTTAGAGGATGTTTTCACCCTAAAAAGAAAAATTGCCTTATACTTCTATCGAGGTCTCCTACAAAGTTTAAAAAAATGTCGGAATGTTTGGGTGACCGAAGTTCCTTTGTCGGTCCCCGAACAAAATTGGCGAACGTGTATCGCTATAATGAAATATAATTACATCCTCCGAGGGGTCAGAAACAGAAATGAAACTGAATGGTAGCGGAACAACGACAGAATTGAATTTAGTATTTTATAGAAGTGCGGCCAGTGGCGAGCCACGCATTCCGGCGACGCTGCTAATTTTATACATCAAGGTCCACGGTCAAAGGAAGCGCCATTGATTAAACGACCCCCGCACTTGTGCCATTTAACGCATTGTCGGACACTCTACGGTCATTATATTACTCCTTTCCGCGCGTTTAATTACCGTCAAGTGCATTTCATTCAAATGTCAAACGTAAATGGACCCTCTCTCTCTCTTGTCACTTTTCTTCTTCTATTATGGAATCTGAATGTGGACTTCTCTGACAGGAATCTATGTGACACTTGTGAAACCTGTTCTTAATTGTAATCCAATGAACTATGAATATTCCAACTATAGACAGCTTTCAAGCTGGTTTGTCAAAGGACTCATTACATTCACTATTTTCTTAAGTGAAGAGATAAAGCAAGGTTTCAGTAAGAATGCTCAGTAGAAGGTTCAAATAGAATATGTGTTCCATGACACGACTACTACTAAAAACATAATAATACAAATGAATGGTACATTATTATTGCCCTATTATTATTTTTCCAAACTATTTGGTACTATATGAGAAGCCACTTTTACATTAGACAATGATCTTAATCTCAGGAATCTTATCCTGAATGCTCCACAGATATCAGAGTCAAATCTGCAGTAGAAACAGATAAGAAGGTTCAAATAGTGAAAAGTAATGATAAAAATTAATGGCACACTACTACTGCCCTATTATTTTTCCAAACTATTTTGTACTATATGAAAAGCCACTTTTACATCAGACAATGATCCCTATCTCAAGAGTCTTAACCTAGCACCTCACAGACATCAGAGACAAATTGACCCGAGTCTGTCAAACCAGATCAAGACTCACCAGATGCGTTTTATTGTTTGGTGGCTGACTCTTCTCGTCTATCTCGAAGATAGACAGTACAAAAACTTTCGGATTAGGCGTGTTAAGGGCCGGCTGGTCTCGCTTTCTGATCATCTCGAGGAACTTGGTTGGCAAGTCCGGATTCGGATAGAGCTCAATATCGCTGGCGAACACGTAGAACGTCGGGGCAGACTCGCGTGCTATGTTACGGCCAACGTTCACGGGATATAGCAGCTTCTTCTCGTTTTTATACATCTTTGAAAGCGTGACGTTCACCCACGGTGGCCCCAGCGTGCAGTTGTACGTGTCAGCCAGAACTTTCTCGGTTGGGGGCACCTATTTTAAACAGACATCAGATAAGCCTTAGGTTAGGAACACCAGACACTGTTTAACATTTCAGAAGATATGCGAAACACTCCTACGTAAACTGTTTAAGAATTTCCTGTCGGGCCAATTCACAGTACTTACACAGTGGTCCAAAATCAATATTGAGCAGCTTGTATGCTTGTTTAGCTCAAGCAATCAAAAATTTTTGATGTTATAAAGTTTGTTCAAGTAGAAGTGGATAAATTAACAAATTTTTAGCAATTTTAAGGATTCTCTTCAGGGATCATCAACAGTGGTCTCAACATCTTTATGAAAGTCTGAATTTTTAGGGAATCTTTCTTTTTTTTTTCATTTTTGACTGAGAAATTGATAATAAGGTTTCAGGTTTTTTGAGCTCTCTTTTTCATGGTTGATAATAAGTTGATATCAGTTTTTTGGAATAGCAATAGAATAACTTTGTTTTTGACCATTTGGGTTGCTAAATTTTTATTCTGGGTCAACGTGTGCATTGTGCTTATTTTATGGAAGAATAAAAAATTCTTTTCTTATGTACAAGCATCCACAATTTAATTATATAGTATTAATTCTTCTCTCTTATATTAATAATACTGCATCTATCAAGTATTTCAATACTGAATTGTTCAACTGGAACTAGTTACATAATAATCTGTAACGCTTCTCTTTTAGACTAATTATAATGCAACCTCTTAAATGTCTCAATAGATGCAGCAGATGAACTGAAATTGAAACGTATTGACTTGTTACTGCACACAGCAAAGTGAAATGATCGTGTCTGCCAATGATTTACTATCGTACAGTTTAAGAAACATATTACCATAGAGGAATCGCTTCCTGTGACTATAATTTTCTATTGCGAAACTCTGACATTAACAGGATCTGTATGTACACAGACAATTTGCAACTGGTAAAGCAAACGCAGTAATTTTTTATCCTGTGAATTACATACACGAAGATACCACGCGATTTCCAGGTGGTGATTCCTCAGTTAAAAGGTGAGATTATGTATGTAGAACAGAAATGAATAAGTGGGTAATATCACTATCAGCTGTTAACTAGTTCCCGCGTGTCTGATTAATACTTTCCCCGGCCTCTCGTTTTGATCCACTTTTGCGGACTGTTGTATTGTGTTTCTGTCTGGTCATTTGATGTGGGCGCGATAGTCGGACTTTCCTTTGCGAACTGTTTTCCAGGGGCCGCTTGACTGAACACTTTTTGCATCTGATTAACATCCCAACGCTAACTGTGCTGGACAACATCTTCTTTGTGACTTGGTTTAACAAATGAAAGATGACCATTAATGAATACAATTTTCATTCAAATAGCAGTCTATTCTGTTTCAGAACAAAATTGTGGTCAGGATTCTTTCATTTTCAGAGATTTAAAAACCTAGAAACTAGACTTTAGAAGTTAAATTGCCCACGGGACGATGTCAGCTCTTTCAGCCAGGTTCATAAAAGTTAGAGAATTTCGTTTAGGTCAGAAGTAAAATCTCAGAACTGGAGCAGCCACTATTGGGAAATCTTTTTTGAATAGAAAAATTGACAATCGTTTATATCGAAGAGGTGAAAACAGACTTTAAAATTGGAGGTTGAGAACATATTTTTTTAGAATACCCCAACAACAGTGTACAGGAAAACCTTTTTTTTAAATTGTGTGTTTTTTAATGGGGAATTAAATGATATGTATATTCTTTTTCTAAATTATTTGTTGAAATAATATATACAAATTATGAGTTTTATTGATAATTCTTCTTGCTAAATGTTAACTGATTTCCAAAAAAACTTGTGTGAGTGAATTACGAATCGGAATTTCTTTTATTCAGAATCGTCCGTATTGAAGGGGTAAAAACAGCCTTAAAGTTGGGGGTTCAAAACATATCTTTTGAAATATCTCAGAAACCAGAGGGCCCAGCAAAAAACATTCTGTTCTAAATTGTGCATTTCTGAATGACGAATTAAATCATATAAAAAATTGGTTAAAAATCATTTGTTTAAACAATAAATATGAAGTTGGAATTATTTTTGGTCAATTTTCCTGCTAAATACTGACAACTTTAAACAGGGGACATGACATTATGTGTGGACCAAAACAGAGGATGTGTTTTTGAAATTTTCTGTTTCGTTTTTTACCATATAACAATAATTGATGGTTGCACAGTTTTCTGTCAGTTTGAAACTGAGTACAGCAAGTGATTTTCAGTGACTTCGTTCTAAAACTTCAGTTCCAGCAATTCTTCTGTTCCGTGAAGTGTGGAAGTGTTCAATTAGCATCGCCAGTAGTTGGTTACTCCCGGGTTCTCCACGGTACGCGCGTGTCCCTCGTGCGTGACGCGAGGAGCATTATCTTCGCGAGTAATTTCCGACAATCTTTCCAAAGGCTGTGTCCCAGGGAATTGTCCGTTTCCTTGGGAAGAAATGTCCACACCGCGGAAAAATAAAACCCGCAAGAAATATCTCCTTGGCGCGCGACTGTCAACCGTGAAGAACCTGGCGACACGAACAAGCTTTCTTGTTCCTGAATGGTGAACACTGGTTTTGCATATTGCAGATGAAGTGTTCCAGACTTCATATTTTCTCACTTTCAACACGCTATTCATCGTACTCTCGCTGTACATTACAATTCTAGCTGGTAGAGTGACACGCTCAATTATATCATCACTGGACAATTTGATGTACTGATCACGTTAATTGACGAAATCTCCACTTTGCGTAATGTAATTTTATTGAATAAAAGAAGTAACTGGAATTAGGATTTGACCGTTTAGATTTGATTTTAACCGTTGGAATTTAACCTTGACTGTTGAGATATGAATTTGATCGTTGGAATTTGAATCTGACCGTTGAAATTTAAATTTGACCGTTGAAGATTTGAATTTGACCGTTGAGATTTGAATTTGACCGCTGGAATTTAATCTTCGCTGTTAAGATATGAATTTGACCGTTGAAATTTAAATTTGACCGTTGAAGATTTGAATTTGAACGTTGAGATTTGAATTTAACCGCTGGAATTTAAATTTGACCGTTGAAGATTTGAATTTGACCGTTGAAATTTAAATTTGACCGTTGAAGATTTGAATTTAATAGTTGAGATTTGAATTTAACCGCTGAAATTTAAATCTGACCGTTGAAGATTTGAATTTGACCGTTGAGATTTAAATTTGACCGCTGGAATTTAAATTTGACCGTTGGAATTTAATCTTGGCTGTTAAGATATGAATTTGATCGTTGGAATTTGAAGTTGACCGTTGAAATTTAAATTCGATCGTTGAAGATTTGAATTTGACCGTTGCAGATTTGAATTTGATCATTGAAATTTGAATGTGAACGTTTGAATCTGAATTCTGGCGCTGTATATTCGCGTTTAATTGGTAGAATTGTGTTCCAAAGTGAGTTCTCGTTCAATTTGAAGATCGTTTTGAACGACATATGTTACTACATGCTCTACATTCTAGACAGTATCGGAATGATACGAAAAGAAGTAGAGATCAGATTACTCCACGAATATTTTCAGGCGATTAAAGTGATTAATATCAGTTTCCGAAGAATTTCTGTCATTGTGTAGTCTTCAATGTAGCTAGAGGACCCATCATGCCAATTTATCTACAGTGTAGGTGAGGTCCTACACTCACTGACTTCAGAACTCCAAGCTCTATTACTATGCAAAACCTAATTAAAAAGTCAACGTTACACCTGGGGACCTCTCCTTGTCAGTGCCGAGAAACTTTCGAACACTCATCGATGATTTACGGTATTTCCAGAATTAACTAGTTATTCTATTAGTTCTTCTACTAAGTTCTAATTTAAAGTTACTCTATTAGTTCATCTATTAAAATACTATTTCAAAGTCATTTAATTAGTCCATAGTTAATTAATATTAGTGATGAGTAAGGATAAGTCTGACTACAGGGTAGTACAAAAAAAGATTTCATAACTTCTAGGGTGAATAGTACTCGCCAAACGATAAAAAAATTCCTACATTTCTCCAAGCATTTGTCAAAAAATGAATATTTTTCGAATTTATAAACAATTTTTTATTTCGATATATTTCAGATAACCCTCTGTTAACTAGGAAAAGAAGAAACGACAAGGTAATTGTTTATAACTTCGTAAATATTAGATTTTCGACCTACATCTATTAGGGTCTATTATTTAATAAATAATTAGCACTTTTTTCCATCATTTGGCGAGTACAATCTACCTAAAAAGTTATGGACCCTTTTGTTTGTATCACCCTGTATATCGTACATCCTGGATCCTCTTGTGGTCCACTCGATCAGCAGCTCATTTCGGAATTCAATGACTCAGACAGGTTTCAACGAATCGAGGGAATGCAAAGGGGAAGGGAATGTGTACGACGAGACAGAGGACTATGTGGTTATTATATATTTACCACTTTTGGCACGTGTTTGCTGCTGAAGAATACGTGGAAGGTGACCAGCTGGGAGACCAGGGGGCTGCCACAGTTTCTCGAGTACTTGATGGCGTCGAGAGTCGCCGGGAAGTCTGTGCCAGGAGCGTGCATCGCGATCGATATCGGCGCCCTCCATCGTTCCAGCAACGGCTCCAGATTGTCCAGGAACGTGTAATCCGCGTGCGTGGTGTACGTCACGCTCTCCCAGCATCTCAACGCGATGCTCATCGGCACGTAATTGTAGAGGACCCAGTAATCGCCCCGTTGCGCCCGCCGCGGCTCCAGCGACTTCTCGTTGCAGGGCACCGCCTCCTTCAGGCTCATCGTCGGACGGATGATCGGCTCGCCCTTCTTCACCTTAACGAGCAGAAGGCAACGGTTAATCAGGATTTCAATTGGACCGTTGAAACCTAAATTTCATTGTTGGAATTTCAATTGACCGTTGAGATTTGAATTTGAACGTTGAAAATTTGTATTTGAACGTTGAAAATTTGTATTTGACCGTTGAAGATTTGAATTTGACAGTTGAAGATTTGAATTTGACCGTTGAAGATTCGAATTTGACCGTTGAAGATTTGAATTTGACCGTTGAAGATTTGAATTTGACCGTTGAAGATTTGAATTTGACCGTTGAAAATTTGTATTTGACCGTTGAAGATTTGAATTTGACAGTTGAAGATTTGAATTTGACCGTTGAAGATTCGAATTTGACCGTTGAAGATTCGAATTTGACCGTTGAAGATTTGAATTTGACCGTTGAAAATTTGTATTTGAACGTTGAAGGTTTGAATTTGATCGTTGAAGGTTTGAATTTGACCGTTGAAGATTTGAATTTGACCGTTGAAGGTTTGAATTTGACCGTTGAAGGTTTGAATTTGACCGTTGAAGGTTTGAATTTGACCGTTGAAGATTTCAATTTGACCGTTGAAGATTTGAATTTAACCGTTGCAGATTTGAATTTGACCGTTGCAGATTTGAATTTGAACATTGAAAATTTGTATTTGAACGTTGAAAATTTGTATTTGAACGTTGAAAATTTGTATTTGAACGTTGAAGGTTTGAATTTGACCGTTGAAGATTTGAATTTGACCGTTGAAGATTTCAATTTGACCATTGAAGATTTGAATTTGACCGTTGAAGATTTCAATTTGATCGTTGAAAATTTGAATGTGACCGTTAAAATTTAAATTCTAGCACTGTAAATTCGTGTTCCAAATAAGTTCTCGTTGAATTTGAATATCACTTTGAGCAACATACGTTATTACACGCTCTAGACAGTATCGGAATGATACGAAACTTTGTTCGTAACTTGTTTGGAAATTTGCAAGACTATTGAACTACAGACACTATAGGGGTAAAAGCGTTCGCATGAATTTTGCACGGAGCTTGAGAGATAGAAAGGGGGAGGGGGCAGCGGTACACGGATGCTTCGTGTCTGAAATATTAAGCTCCGGGGGAACTGAACTTGCTGCACGGTTTTAGTTTGACGCGATGTAATTTTTCGAAGGTAGAAAAGACTCGGTAATGGCACACTGGCTGCGTCTGCTGGTCTTGAATTTTTCAGGCAGTAGTATATGTATACTTAGCCCGGCCATTGATGCTCCCGCGGGCATAGCAAAATTTATTTTAATTTCTATGGAAAACTGGTGAATTTTTTATTCATTATTAGGGATACCGAAGACTTTAAGGATTTAAGAATGGTTCAACGTACTTCTTCCGTGAATATTTCTAGGGGATCAATAGTACTTTCTTGGTATTTGAAACCCTACGTTTAATTACTTGAAACACTATGAATATACTTTTTGATCTATGATTTTAGTCATCGGAATTTCGATTTGACCGTTTAAATTTGAATTCTGACCGTTGGAAGCTAAATTCTTACCGTTGGAAGTTCAATTCTGACTGCTAAAATGTGAATATCGATCGTTGAAATTTGTATTATGAACATTAAAATTTGTATTCCGATCGTTGAAATTTGTATTATGGCCGTTGAAAGTTAAATTCTAACTGTTGAAATTGAAATTCTAACCGTTGAAATTTGAATTCCGATAATTGAAATTTGTATCACAAAATATATTTGGTTCCTCGAAATACGAAATCCAGTTTTCCGAATATACACTCAATTATCAGAATTACGTCCTCTCCAGAAACCTCAATTCGACAAGATCACCATAGTTCCCAAAACCCCATAAAATCCAACCTTAATCCAAACATAACAAGAAGACGCCAATGGTGGCTCAAGACCGTACATACTACCCCAATAACATCCCGGAATATAAAACCATCTCATAGGTCAACTGGTGAAGGAGCATATCCTCAAATTCCCATTCCACACACACGTCCACAGTTTCTGAAACATTCAATGTGTGGTATCCACAGGCCGCGCCCAGCCACACACTAGCTAAAGCCAAGCACACTGGGGCGCCAATAAATCGTGGCCTCGGGCAAAAGTCACCAAGTACCCGCACACCCACAGCCCAGCAAAAAAGAAGCGTTGCAAGCCAGCTTACCGTCTGATTGTGTGGATGATCGTTCTTGTCAACAGCCCCGGCGGCCTTGGCCTCGTTCAGCGTCGGCCTCGTGGTTAGGTGCCTCGCCCTGGCCACCGATCCGGTCGTGTTCCCGCCACGTAGACCCTTGACGACGGCATCTTTGACCGCTGGCAAAGACGACGATGTGGCGGCGCCGCCCTTTTGGGTGCCGTTCACGAGCTCCAAGGCGCCGCCGAACGTCTCGGACTGCAACGGCGCCGCCCAATTAGTCGGCGGTTCCTCGATCCAGGGCCCGGAGGAGCCGAAGTGGGCGCCCACATAGAGCAACACGCATACGTTGATCACCACCGACACTCGTAGCGCCCAATTTCGACGCAGTATACTGAATATGCTCATTCTCCAGCCTCCTCCAGGTCCACGATCCCCAGCTACCACACCACGACGTCCGTCCTCCTGGTGTTCCCCTGATAAACAACAACACACCTTGTCGGCAGCATCCACCCCTACGGGGGGGCCCGTGCTGATCCGCGATCAGGATCTGAGCATGGCTGACTCCGACGATCGCCGATCCTCCTAGCACTTCCTTCAACCACCTGGAACATAAAAAGAGACCTGGGGGTTAGATCGAGGCGCTGAGTACTTCCCCACCTCCATGTGGCCCGGACCTAAAAAAGTTGGGCCGGTTGGAAAGTCGGGGGAAATATCATCCTTGGGTCTTTACGAAGGCCAGGCACTAAATCGCCAGGCTCGCGGCTTCGGAGGGGGATACCGACATTCCCCTTCCCCGGGTGACAATGTGCTACTAATCACTAATCACTAGATCGAGGCAACTTGGGTCTGTCGATAATATTCTATTTGTGAATTTTTTAACCCTCCAGGGAAGAAGGTTTTTAATATTTCTAGGGACAACGGTGCTCGGGTCCGTTTGGTCCATTATACAGTAAATCTTCGATTAGTGTTCGAAGGCTCCTCTGAGTGTTCAGACGTCATTCATCATTGGACGCTTGACTGATTCCACGGGGAACCCCTCAGGAATGGGAATGACGTCTGAACACTCAATGTTCGAGGAGCCTGCGAACACTGATCGGGGATTTACTGTACTTCCTTCTTTGTAAACATATTTCCAATGGTAATTATTCAAGTAGACTTCGACTTTTATATGACCTAATACGAATAAGTCTTAGCTGACATTCGGTTTATAAATTGGTGATTTAGATGGAGCTTTTAAGAACTCGGGTCCAAACGGACCAACAAGGATAGCGAACTTTGCAGGTTCAGAACCGATTTTTCTATGCTTGTAGGAGTCACGTGTGTCCTGGATGATTTATAACACATTTGAAACCGATGACGCCAATTGACGTCAAAGGATGGTACCGTGTTGTATCCCGTTGAATGGTCGTTTTGTTGGATTCAATAGAAACTCGGTACAAGCACGGAAACTTCAGCGAAATACTTCTTAGATCGGTTCTAAATGTGTATGCAGAGACTGTTCGGAGAACAATGCTAAATTGAGGAAGAGATGCGTGCAAGATATACATTCAGCAATTTGGGCAGTGGGAGTTATCTTAAGTTTAGCATTGAACTAAAGCCTAGACCTTGAGGCTCGAAGTTCGAGGATAATTTAAACTGATTTGCTGTGTTTGGAATACTTCTCAAAAAGTAACCAAATGACTGATGCTAATACTATAAGAAGATTTACATAGTATTGTGATGCGTTTACTGGAAACAATGAAAGAGAGACATTATGCTCTTTACAAGTAAACAAACTCCTGTCCGAGTCGAGATGGACTAATGAGATATCCATCGAGTTCTGCTACCATTGCTGTGACTTTAAGTGGAACTGACAATAGTAGTCTAGAAAAAAGAGGTACCAAACCCCAGACCTTTTATTCTACGGGTGCTGTACCACCATGGCCATTAACCAAATGAGTCAGCAGTCATTTTCACTAATCCCCCAACTCTGTTTCCCCTATTTAGGGGATCCTAACTTCACCCTAGGGTACAACAGTGATGACTATCATTTCACTACACAATATCTATCCAAGATGGGCATTACTAACATAGTTTAGAGTCACTCTGACTATATTTTAGAACAGAAAGAGCAAACCGATCAGTAGCTATTTTCCCTAATCCCCTAACTCTTGTTCTTCTACTTAGGTCCCAATCCCAGCCTATGGAACAACAGTGCTGACTATCATTGCACTAACCATAGTCATTAACTAACTGAGTCAGTAATCATTTTCACTAATGCCCTAACTATGTTTCGTCTATTTAGGGGATCCTAACTTCACCCTAGGGTACAACAGTGATGACTATCATTTCACTACACAATATCTATCCAAGATGGGCATTACTAACATAGTTTAGAGTCACTCTGACTATATTTTAGAACAGAAAGAGCAAACCGATCAGTAGCTATTTTCCCTAATCCCCTAACTCTTGTTCTTCTATTTAGCTCCTAATCCCAGCTTATGGTACAACAGTGCTGACTATCATGGCACTAACCATGGTCATTAACCAACTGAGTCAGTAGTCATTTTCACTAATCCCCCAACTCTGTTTCCCCTATTTAGGGGATCCTAACTTCACCCTAGGGTACAACAGTGCTGACTATCATTTCACTACACAATATCTATCCAAGATGGACATTACTAACATAGTTTAGAGTCACTCTGATTGTGTCTTAAAACAGGAAGAGCAAATCGACTAGAATCATTTATCCCAGTTAGCCCGATTGCCCAAACTCTTTGATTCCTTCGATCCCACAGAAAGACTCTGCAGTGCCTAAAAACTGTTCCCAGCGAAGAAAGGCTTTCTTACGAATCAGAATTTCCGGTCCAGGGGTGCAATTCACCCTGGGTGACTTCCCTCCAAGGAACAATCCCCAGCGATAAGGGTCGATTCATCAGCGGATGAAAAAGATCGCGAGGAGGTCCCGAAGTGGGGGCTGCTCGTTAGTCATTTTCTGGTTTTTAACGAGTTTCTGACGGAACAGGGGAGTCGATTTCACCGTCTAAACGCCCATTCGTGATCCCGTGGATGCTTGGCTGTTGAAGGAATATCGTGGCTTGTTAGCCGACCCAACGGTTACCTAATACCACGCCGCCTCTGTGATAATAACACACGTTGCCTGGCTGTTCGATCTTTTTTCTGCGAACGGCGCTCACACTACGCATGAATGACTTGGCTAGCGAGCATGGAAATGGCTTCATTGTTAGATCGTTAGACACGCGACGGTGTCGCGGCTCTATTGTGCGAATGAACCCAAGTAGCTAAAGGCATGGACATTTCTTCTGCTACCGGTTGTCATCGCGAGCTGGAACAAGCCATTGGGTCCTTGGGCGACACACCCCTCGACACTAACTAGTATTTTATACCGTTTTTAAATAAGGTGTCATGGAGATGGTAGAAATGCAGTCCACCTTGGGGACCGGCCTGATTTTAACCCTTACAAGGGAAGGACCCCAACTGTCAGACATCGATTTTAACCCATTGAATCTCAAATTGTTTTAGAAATTACTAAAGGAATATTTTCTTGTATTTTTGTGTATATTACAGAACATATAAATCATTCACAAAAACATTTTAATATTTTGAAACTTTCCGATGACATTTTTCATTCGTTGCTTACTACCTTGTGAACTGTTATGTATAGATACTTTGCCTTGCGGGGTTAGGTACTGATGAACTTCGGCTATTCGTTATTTAGAACAAAATTAAGTAGTGTTATTAGAACAATTTTAAATAGTAAAATCTATCTAGTTGACTAGATGAGATGGAACAGCGGTATAGTAACTGCTAGGTAACTTAGCTTGTGACTATAAAAAGGGTGACTATAGAACAGTGTGAGTATAGAAAGGGTGATTATAGAACCTTGTGACTATAGAAGGGATGACTATACAACAATGTGACTATAAAAAGAGTGACTATAGAACAGTATGAGTATAGAAAGGGTGAGTATAGAACCTTGTGACTATAGAAGGGATGACTATACAACAATGTGAGTATGGAAAGGGTGATTATAGAACCTTGTGACTATAGAAGGGATGACTATACAACAATGTGAGTATAGGAAGGATGACTATAGGACAGTGCGAGTATAGAAAAGGTAAGTAGTATAGGAAGGATGACTATAGGACAGTGCGAGTATAGAAAAGGTAAGTAGTATAGGAAGGATGACTATAGGACAGTGCGAGTATAGAAAAGGTAAGTAGTATAGGAAGGATGACTATAGGACAGTGCGAGTATAGAAAAGGTAAGTACAGAGAAATAACTATAGAACAGTGTTTATAGAAAGGGAAACTATAGAACAGTGTGAGTATACAAAGGATAACTATAGGACAGTGTGTTTATAAAAGGAGTGACTATAAAACAGTGTGACTATAGGAAGAGTGATTATAGTAGTGCAACATAGAATAGAAATAATTTAGGAGTACGGACATTGAAATTCAAAATCTTTATTGGTAAAGGGGTGGACAACTAACGAGGTCAGACTGAATAAGATGGATTCAGCAACGCCTGGTATATTGCCGACGCTATTCATCTAATCCATCCAACAATTAATAGACATTTCGCTTCTTCCATTCCGACTACCACTATTACCCCATCGAAGTATTATCCCCACCAACCCCCGGGGGGAGAGGGGATTAGTGTTTCCCAGTCGCCGAACGATTCTCGGCTCGCCTGGTTATTAGCGCCGCTGGCAAATGATAGAGGAAACCGCGTGCCGGGGCACTTTGTATCGCGACTTAATACGATATCCCCGGACAGCACCGGGAGAGTTTCTGAAGTTGGATTGCACGTCAGGTAGAAGTTGAGCAACATTATGTTACCGAGGCGCACGCAAAACGATATCGCTTCCGATGCTTATTACCTGGCGGAAACCGGGTTAAACGAGCACTATACACTATACAGAGGAAGTTGGGTCCCTGTCATTGAACCTAACGTCGTCGCGTCCGCCATCTTGTTCCTCGAAATCGGACAAAATAGGGAGACTCGTGCCGGGCCAGTTGGTAGACGTTAATATTTTCTCAAACTAACTTAAAAAAAATAGACTTGCGCGTAGACGTTTTCGAACTGGACCAGTTAGTGATCGCCAATATTTTGTTCAGACTACCTAACTTAAAAAAAATGGGCTTCGACGAATAAGAAGTTTTCGAGGTGGGCCAGTTAGTGATCAATAATATTTTCTCGGGCTAACCTAAAAAAGGGATGAACTTCGATAAGGAAGATGTTTTTGGGGTGGGCCAGTTAGTGGTTTCTAATATTTTTTCAGACTTATCTAAGAAAACGGAATGGACTTGGGCGTAGAAGAAGTTTCCAAACTGGGCCGGTTAGTGGTAGCTTAACGCCTTTTCAGACTTATCCAAACAAAAATTAGACTTCGACAAAGAAGACGTTTTTGAGGAGGGCCAGTTGGTGGTCGCTTAACGTCTTTTCAGACTAACCCAAACAAAAATTAGACTTCGACAAAGAAAACGTTTTTGAGCAGTGCCAGTTAGGGGTCACCAACGTCTTTTCAGACTAACCTAAAAAGAAAAACGGAA